GACAAGGAAAAAAAAAAAAAAAAAAAAAACTCCTTACCGCGCGGCCACAGGCTGGGACCACCGTGGATGTGACGCCAGCGCACTTTTTGAAGTCGGGGTGTGAGGTTACTGCCCATTACTGTTATCTTTGCCTTTTCGAACTACGGCCATTTTTTCGTTGCCCATTAGTGTTTTTTTTGCCTTTACAGTTTGAAAGTGTGGTACTACGGCACTTGTTTCTAATTTGTAATATGTTGACAACTTGACATGAAAACAAAAACAAAGCCAAAAACAAACCAAAAACAAAACCAAAAACAAAACAAAAACAAAACAAAAACAAAACAAAAAACAAAACAAAAACAAAACAAAAAACAAAACAAAAACAAAACAAAAACAAAAACAAAAACAAAAACAAAAACAAAAAGCCCCTGACGACTCGACGGGACTTCACAGAGTGTGATGGCAGCGAGATGCTTACGGGACTGATCCGCAAAGGAGCTGGAGTTACCGAGGATATAGTCAGGAATGTGCCCCGCAAAGGCAGAGGAGAGAACAGCCTGCAATAGTCAGCCATAGCAATGATAGCATTCACAAAACAAGAAAACAAAAAAAAACACTCATCCTAAGTTAACCAAAAAAAAGAAAAGTAGAAGACTCATCCTAAATTAAAAAAAAAAAAAGGTTTGTCCTTAACAACATGCGTTAAAACGGGAATGATACAGAGACTAAAGATTAGCATGGGCAAACACTCAAGTTGAACCAAATGAAAAAAAAAAAAAAAAAAAAAAGTTGAACCAAATGGCTAGATCGCTACGACATAGTAGAAGAGGTAAAGACTCACTGCCGACACGACCAATGCAAAATAGCACTCAAAGTGACGACAAGAAATAGCACACAAGAGGAGAAGAGAAAGAGGAAGGGAGAGGAGAGGAGAAGACAAGAGAGAAGAGATGATAGAACCCCGAGCGCATCAGCTCGTTAAAAATATATCGTTGAAGTACAGCAAATAATGGCGTTGCCGCCATAGCATGAAAACCTGGCGATGAACCCGACAGCTGTTTCGTCCGGCTCGCCAACCGGAACTCCTCAGGGGTGCGCTGGTGTACTAATGAATGAGACTATAGGATTACTTATAGGACCTAGAAAGCAAAAAAAAACAACCGAAGACTACGGGTCGGAAATACGGGAACCCAAGGGACAGGCCTATCGAAAAGGGGGACCAAAAAATATTACCAAAACTTCCAGCCTGTAAAACAACTAACCCAAGGGGTCCAAGAACCACCTACCTTGTTATTGAAATGAACCAGAGAGTCATCAAAGTACCTATTAGGGAATCTACGACGCCGGAGCTCGACCTTTAGACTGAAGAGAAAAAGGGCTTCAGTCCCAGGCAAGGTGCCCATAGCATACGCTCTGTGGAAAAAAGATGAAATCACTGCCATATGCTGCTTCTTACTACAGAAAGAATCGTAGTCCTGCAAATTCTGAAAAATCAAACCATTTCCCTGGAAAATGCAGTCTTGATTCTTGTGGATGGCCTGGCAAAACACTCGTGCTGGCCTCTCACCGATGTGCATCCGGCATCCAAGATAGGGCCAATCCTTCGAAGTACTCGTTTTCTCCAAGGTTAAATCTCTGTTGTAACAACAGTTTTCAAACTTCTGAAAAATGGACTCCGCTCTCCTAGTGGAAATACTATCACCAATTTTGCATCAAATAAAAACCGAAACATCATCTATCAATCTACAACCCCGGACCAATTTCGCATCATTACCCAAGTTCTTCAAAAAACAGAACTCGTTATGCATACACATAAGACTTGCCAATGCGGGGCTGGAGGATTTTCCCATGGGCATCCCCAGCCGCTGCTTGATCACCTTACCCATCACCATGGTGTAAGTATTATTCAGATCATACAAAACGAATCGAATTAACAATGAGAACCTGACGGATTTAAACCCAGTTTCACTAATAGTTATCCTACTTAAACGTACTTGCTTCTTCCGTGCACAATACAGGAATTAAAAAAATCCCTTAACTTCGAACAAACTAATTGCCCATTCTAACGCAGAAATAATGGCCGGATGTGGCAATTGACAGAACATCTCTTTTATATCATAACTGCGGCCAAGAATCTCACAACCCTCCTTGACTTCCTTATTAACAGAATTAAGAAACAGGGGAAGCGATTGAGTACTGCTGAGATTAAAATGACTGACTTTAGGAATCCTTCGTATCAACTCATTAACACAAGCAGAGGTGATCTAAGCCGCTTTCCGAGCGGGTTTCGACCATGAGGGACAGATAGGCCGCCACTTCCTAGGATCTTTGTGCTTAGGGATGACATACGAACGCCCTAATTTCCCAGACCCCCCCATGGTGCAATAAAACTCAACTTCTGTTGTACAAAGCTTTACAATCTTTGATGACTAGATCTTCAAACTCGGTAGAAACCAGAAACCCGGGATCTTCAGTAAACAACTTCCTTAAACCTTGTTTATAGATCATAGGACAGCACACATAGGTATCCCCCATGTTATGATCGAGGGGACAAAGTACCAAGCCATGAAAGAAATCCTTCCACCGAAGAGCATCTTGGATAGACCGAAGATCCTTGTTGCAGGGGTTCCTAGAGATACAGTCACACAGTTCAGATGGTGCTATACTTACTTCCTTCTTAAAGAACTCAGAAAGAGAGGTAGAAATCTGCTTACTAAGGCTTCGAGTGTCCGATTCATACTTAGGTAAAGTAATATTCTTAGAATTACGTAAAAATACAGGGATAAAATCAATACTACTAAACCTAAAGGAAACATGATCATCTGTATGTGGGAACCGTTTATCCAAAGAGTCGCAGTCACATACAACATCCGAATTGGCTGCATACGAACGATAATTGTAAAGCACATCCCCTAATGCCTTATTCTTAGTCCACACAAGCCTAAATCGACGGCAAACCAAATCCAAGTAGTTCGAGGGAAGATCTAATTTTCGAATCGCTACTTTACAGATATCACGAATTCTTTCTTTGACCAGACCATCGTCGTAGCAAACTCTAATCACCAACCTAGCAGATAAACCCAAATCAAATCTCTTTCTGCAAGCGTGAGAGAGTACTAGCTTTAGAGTGGTTCGAGATCTAGCACACGAGAGGGAACGAACGCCATCATAGGCAGTAATAAACTGATCAAGATCCCATCCAACAAGTTGCTTGCGGGAGGAGGGAGCACTCAAGAGAGAGATGAGAATGGGTTTAGTGTGAATTACTTTAGAACAGAATCGCGTGAGTTTATGAATAGTAACGGAAACCCTAGATACAAAACAGGAACGGCAATGTTTTAGCAGTAAGACAGGATGATTAGCAGATGAGGTAGAAACTACAGAGGAGCCAAATAGTCGTTTGACCAACTTCCAATTGTCAGAAAAGCGATCACCATGAATGATGGAGATAGAGAAAGGAAGACTTGCAATGGAAACATAGGCTTGGTGTAGGATAGACAATATGCTAATAGAACTAATTCCTAGAGATGATTCGAAGAGAAAGGGGATATTTACTGAGGGAGAAATGCTAGGAGAATTATGAACAGGAAATGTAACTACAGATGTAGGAGAAATATCCGAAGAAGTAGAAGGAGGAGAGGGAAGAGGAGGAGGAAGGAAAGGAGAGGATGTTGGTCGTGGTAATAAAGGAGAGGAGGAAAAAGACGAAGCGGGAATAAAGGACAAAGAAGGAGGAGAAAAGGAAGGGGAAAGTGGGGGGAAAAAAGAAAAAAGAAAAAGCACGATTCCTATATTTACGTCTTTCCTTCTTACCTGGCCTACAGTGCCTGTGACGATCCCTATTCCTACTGGATGAATTAAGAGATGGATCGAACGACCGAATGAAGAACTTTTCGGAGAGAAGAAGATCAGAATCATTGGTAGCAAAGATAGGAATAGCTATGTAACTACTTAAATCAACCCGCCTTAACCACCGATACAACTTACGATTCCTCTTAGTACAGCTAGACAGAAGAGTAGCGGCTGTATGCTCCTTCCACCTTGTCCCGATCGTTCTGGAAGTACAACCTATATACACGTGCTTAAACCAGGGGGAAATAATAGCGTAAACGATAGGACCTGGACATCCTTTGAAATCATACTTAGACTTAATTAAAAACGAAATCAGAGAGCGAAATTTAAGACCCCACCTAATTTGATCAGATAAAATAAGCAGAATAGTGACGAGACGAAAAATATAATTTACCTCCTCATTACCAAACAAACCTCGATAATCCCGAAGAAGAAGGGCAAGACTCCAGACGTAGGATGCGCTCAGGGAGTCCCCCTAGGCCTCGTTAGTATCTTCAACCGAGGTAGAATACCGCTGATCATCATCATCGACAGGTAATGATTTGGTCTTGAACCATTCGTCAAAATCGCGTCGTGCACGTATCTCCGCGATGTCTGTCTTTGCCTGATCCAACCTGATATAGGTAACGCCCTCCTCCTTGCAAAGCTCCTCAAGCTCCTGTTTCTTGCCTGTTCTCAGCTCCTTCAGCCGTTTCTCCCTGAATTCCTGGAGCTTGGCCTGCTCAAGTTCGTGAGCACTGTCCACCGTGCCGCGGCGTTTGTTCCGCTGAAGGTTGCCTTCGCCCTCGTCGCTATCGACATCAACGGCCTCCAAGGTGGTTTTTAAATTCCTTGGAGTTGTCTTTCTTGCCGCAACGGATCTTCGCTGAGCCAATCGGATCTTGGACGCGCTTACCTTTGCCATTCTTTCCTTCAAACATTCGGCCTCACGCAAGGCCATTTCCTTGCCAGCCAGAGCATCCTTATACGCCTTGTAGAGACCCTCCATATCCTTTGGAGTATACATGGTGCCAGTTTGGACATCGGCTTTCGGCTTTGCCCTCACCGGAGCCTCCGGTGGACTGCTTTCCGTAGCATCTTCAACACCACGTTTTACCGGATTACGCAGGAGAGAAAATTCATCTTTAAGATCTTTGAATTCGCTGCGAAGGTGAGTGTTCTCCTTCATTAACACCACCACTTCCGAGTTCTTCTCACGACATACTTAGCACAGGCAGCTGCAAACAGCCAAATTTATGACTACAGCCTATTGGGTGTATCTTCTCTCCTCCGTCCTCATGCTGAAACTGTCTATTGCCGGGCAGTCTTCTTCTCTAGTGCCAACTTCCAAGTACCTATCACAGGCCCATGGTAGGACCTGGGGCGGGTCGCGATGCCCTGTAACCTAGTCCAATTGGGGCAGTGAGACCGGGAATAGGGCCTGGATGAGACGACAGCATAGCTAGGTTTGGGTATGGCTGGGTCAATAAAGGTACCAGGAATTAGGGGCCTTTTCCTTTTCTTTTTCCATTTCCCCCCCCCC